CCCCAGTAATGGCTGTAATCAAAGCAGCTCCGCTCATGAATGCTACTTTATCAGATCAAATGAAAATGCCATCGAAACTTTTCTGAAGACAGTCCGTTCCCTTCAGAGATACATTCATATAAAACACCCGCGCCGTGTTTTGATTTTGAAACGTGCAGTGCTCATGTTTATTCAACGAAGCCAAACGGCACAAATAAATATAATGTAGGCTATATCAAAATATCGGAAATGTTTAAAAATCATATCACCGTTATTGAAAAAAATTATATCGCAATACATATTGATATTGAATTATTGTCCAGCCCTAGCTCAATGTCATATTCATGTCATTTTCACTGTGTGCTGTATGTAAAATGAGTGTTACCTTGGCTTTATTTGAAAAAATGTGATTCCCAATGCACACAAACTTCCCAGAATACTGAGTGCCCTGTTGGTTACAGTGTTTACTTCCTTTTTAATTATATTTTTATTAAATATTTGTTTATTTGTGAAAAATACTTTGTCATTTAAAGTATAAGCATGTTTATTTTACACATTTATTTTTTTTAATCCATTTTCAAATTATTTCAAATTTCTTAAATATTAAATAAAATTATATCGGCTTTATATCGGCCATCGCTTTCTGCTTTCTGAGATATCTGCATCGGCTGTCAAAAAAACTATATCGGTCGACCACTAGTTGTGAGATGAAAAGTTGCAAAAACAAGCTTCCATATGAAAAGTCTGTAACATAGTTTGGTTAAAATTTCTCAATGGTAGTGTAAAAAACAGATTTTTTTACCCTGTCAAAAACAGCTCTTTTCAGATCAAGCCGTTTTTGTAGTATTTTCCTTTAAATGTTAATGAGCTGTGCTGATTAATTAGCACATTATTAGGAAAGGCGATTTGCAAAGATTCATTACAAAACCTTATACTCACTACTTCTGTAGATGAGGCTGGATCATGAATGATTCACGCGAACATAGATGCCTTTATGTAGATCAAAAACTCAGTCACTGACAAAACACAGCAGAACCCTTAAAGGGTTACATGCACTTTTACAAGTTGTTTGAACTGAAATGTGTGTTGGCAGTGTGTGTACACAACCACCCTAAAATGATAAAAATCCACCCAGTGTTTTTTTTAATCTCGTTAAATGTTTTCCCCTTTCTCAAACTGAGCCAATCTCAGATGCCTGTCTGTGTGACGTCACACAGACAGGCATCTGAGATTGGCTCAGTTTGAGAAAGGGGAAAACATTTAACGAGATTAAAAAAAACACTGGGTGGATTTTTATCATTTTAGGGTGGTTGTGTACACACACTGCCAACACACATTTCAGTTCAAACAACTTGTAAAAGTGCATGTAACCCTTTAAGGGTTCTGCTGTGTTTTGTCAGTGACTGAGTTTTTTATATTACAATACAAGAAACCGTGAACTTCTTCACACTAACATATAATTGTCATCCAGCTCTTCTACCCTTTAGACACGCAAAAGAAAACTCCCTAAAACACACACATGTGCAGGCAAGAACAGGCACACAGCTGTCCAGCTGTGCTCTCATGTAATAGGACTCTGTCAGCGGGTAGTTTTGTCTCTATGACTGACAGACTGCGGAGCATGAGGATGCACCTGGAATGATGCCACAAGAGATGCAACTGTAATGAAAATTACAGGGTGGAAAAAGGCCTCCTGCTTGACATTTTTCATTATGACAAAGTTGCAATTTTGCTTGAGGAGCACGTCAGGGTGTTTGGAAGACGTATGGAGACTGGCTGCTCTGCATTAGGGAGAGTAGAGTCTCGCTAACCTCATTCTAAACTCTGCGCTGGCTAACCAGATGTTGGCTCTCATCCACTCGGCCTCAAAAATACTTGCTGTCCCCCCAATCCCTCCGACGGAAACATTTATTCGCTATTAGAATCTGTTGTCAGAAAGCAAGTCAATTTTTTTTTTACCACAATTCCATTTCTGGAATTCGGGAATTTCACAGCAAACAAGCTCTGGAGCCAAAAAAGTACATGGGGTTTTAACCGCAAAGGCTTGTAGTGTTCTACAACCTTCATTCTCGTAGTTACAGGAAGTGAGATTCCTTTAATGAGGCAGAGCTGGAAATGGGCCCTAAAGGACCCGGGGGACTGCGGTGAGAAACACACTGAAGGACAGTGCATGGAAAAGTGCCAGGGTAATTTTTAATTTAGTCTGGTTACGAGACATCCAAAACAGATCATTACGCTTGGCTCGGAGCATTTCGCTGCAACTGAAGTATGGACACAAACAGAGCTGCCTAAATAACAGGAGCTCTATCACGCACTAAAACTTTAGATCAGCGGTTGTCGATTAGTGGATCATGGCCCAAAATTTGGTTGCACGTCTATTCTGACAGGAGGGACAAAACAATGCTTAATGTGAATGATAAAATGCAACTAGCCGTATAATGGTTAGGGATGCGCAATATATCTGTATCATATCAGTTAATTATAAGACAATTTTGCAGATTTTTGTTAATTTACCTGTATCATTCCATATTGGATATTCAAATGTAACAATGTAGTCATCAATTTGAGTATGATTACACAGTTGAATCAACAATGTAATCACACTGTACTTTTTACTTGCCTGAATGATTTTTTTTAAAATTTGTTTTATTTGAAAAATATTTGCGTACTGTACATTTTAATGTTGTGATACCTGATTTCAATTATCTGTAACTTTAGAAAGATTTTCTATCGCATTTTTTAAATTTTTTCATTCTTTAAGCATCATTTCAATATATTTGGTTTAGACTCATTTACAGTTGTTGAGTATCATGTAATCATACTGTACATATCAATGTTGTGATGCCTGAATTCAGTTGTATCATTTAAAAAGACTGATTTTAGTGTTATTTGTATTTTATTTTCTTTATAATATTTTTCTGTCTTGTTTTAAGGATTATTTTATATTTAACAAACTTATTTAGAAAGAAAATGTCTATTTATATATATATAAATTATAAAAAAAAAATTATGGATATTTTAGTTGCGTGAGACTTTAGTCTTTGCAACTTCAGGGATCTTATCTATTCACAATCAGCTTGTAACACTCCAAAGAGAAAGGAAAACTTGAAATCGCATCATATGACCCCTTTAAAGGGATATTTCACCCAAAAATGAAGATCTGTCATTAATTACTCTCCATCATTCCAAACCCGTAAGACCTTCGTTCATCTTCGGAACACAAATTAAGATATTTTTGATGAAATCCAAGAGCTTTCTGATCCTCCATAGACAGCAACGTAACTGACACGTTCAAGGCCCAGAAAGGTAGGAAGGACATCATTAAAATAGTCCATGTGATATCAGTGGTTCAACCGTAATTTTATAAAGAATAGAAAACAAAAATAATGACTTTATTCAGCAATTTCTTCTCTTCTGTGTCAGTACTTTCGTGAATGCGTGTCAAAGACTGACACTGAAGAGAAGAAATTGTTGAATAAAGTTGTTATTTTTGTTTTCACAAAAAGTATTCGCGTAGCTTCATAGCATTACGATTGAACCACTGATGTCACACGGACTATTTTAATGTTGTCCTTCCTACCTTTCTGGGTCTTGAACATGGTAGTTGCATTGCTGTATATGGAGGGTCAGAAATCTCTCGGATTTCATGAAAAATATTATAATTTGTGGTGCAAAGATGAACAAAGGTCTTATGGGTTTGGAACGACACGAGGGTGAGTAATTAATAACAGAATTTTCATTTTTGGGTGAACTATCCCTTTAAGTGAGAACCCTTGTTTTAGATTAAACCTCTTTATTGAACTTCATAAATCAAAGCGTAGAAAAAGAGCAGTGTCAATTTTATTGTAAGACATCAGAGCAGAACGAGTATGGAGAACTTCTCCCTTATGCTGTGAACTGTTTCTGTCTCTTTCTGAGTTATGGAGGGTGGCTGGATAGTTCACGCGTTCCCTCAGATGTTGAGCTCTCCTGCTGGTGTTGTCCTTTGAGTGACGGGCAGCAGGGAGCCTGCGGAGTGAAGGCTGGGGCAGGTGACATGGGAGACGGCTTGTCGGGATATGATAAACATTAACACATCATAGAGGAGCCCTGTCTATTCCGATTGTTTCATTTTCCTGAAGTTCCAGCACCAATTGCGCTGACAGGACACATGCTCAACATTTGGGAAAGAGAGCTGCGGATTTTTGTGTTTGTGCCAACCATTACATATGTTTCATTTTTCTCTTCTTTTGTAAGAGCGAGAGAGAAAGTGTGAGACGAAACCCTTCAAAGCAAGGCTGCGAGCTACAACCCCCACTCTTTCTCAAACAGCATCGATTGAGTTTCAGCTCTTTAATTGCTTTGGCTTGGACCTTTGGTATTTTTTTCCTCTAGTTTTTTTTTTATTGTCTTCCTCTTTTCGTGAAAGAAGCGGAAGGCACTTTCGCACTGATAAAGAAAGAGCCGGTTAGCTGTGTTTTTTCTCAGTCTAAACTAATGGGAGTGTACACTACATTTGTTGAGTGGTTATATTGTTTCTGACTTGTGTCTGAGTTGACTGTGTAGGACATGCTTCTGTCCTAGAGATGTGTCACTTGTGTATATACTTTCTTTATTTCTTTATTTCTGTGCTTCTGTTTCTTACTGTGAGGTGCTGCTCTCGCTGAGCTTTTTATTTTTTTTATTTTTAATATTTTATTTTATGTTTCCAAGCAGACATTCTTGCCGAAAAGTGACAGTGCTACCCAATGAGCTGTTTTGTTTTATTTTATTTTATCTTAATATTTTTTTTATTTTATGATATTTTACAAACAGACTTTCTTGCTGTGAGGTGGCCATGATTGCCAATTATTAAATTAAATTAAATTAAATTATATTTTTTATTATTTTATTTTCCAAGCAGACATTCTTGCTGCTCAGTGACAGTGTTATTTTACTGCCATTATTTTTTATTACACTTTTTGAATACATTTGCCATGTAACAATTCTTATAGATGAACTAAAACTGTTTTGTTGTTTAACACTTTGCATTTGTTTTGCAGGTTTCAACTTCCTGTGATATAATCACACCATGCCTGAGGGAGCGGGCCGCGACAGCCAGAAAAAAAACAGCAACCAAGGTCAGATGCCACTCAGTTAATATCAATGTTTGGAAATCTGATCATAATGATGTGATATCCCAGTGAAAAGTCACTGACAGGAACCGCTCATTCATGGCCTGATTTTGAAGTTCCTTTGTTAACTTCTACTGTAAGTTGTGGTTGAGTTCAAAACCACAAACAAGAGCTTGGGAAAATGACGAAATATATATTTTCTGAGACATTGCACAATTTTCAATGGAGATAAGCCATCAAGCATGCCCAAGATAAGAGTGTCTATCAGGAATGAAATGTTAACAGTTATCAGGTTCAGATTTAGACGGGTGGTCTCCCTCTTGATATTTTTGGACCTCAGCCTCTCCTACTTTACAAAGAATGGTTGCTTACATTAACAATTCAAACAAACTGAACACGACTGTTGGAAATGCGCTGCCAGTCACAATTGTTTAGAGTTGGTCACTGCTCTTTGGATTGGGCTTTCTAAACAATTTGTGATTGAAATAGTTCTGATCATGAAATAGAGACCAAGTGGCACATTTATGTTTAGAAAGAAATTTTAATGTCACATAGAATCTGGAATATGTCAAGTTGCTGTCAATATACTATGCATCCCAAAAGAGCAATGCATATACCTTCAAATATATGTGGCCATTTTCAAATAAAAATGTCATAATACAAACATCTTTAGGCGTTTGACCCAAATCATGTCGTCCAGATCTCAGCTGGCATGTGTTGAGCTCTGAGAACCTTTGGAGGGAACCGCTTGTATTTGGTTTCACCACTTCCTGTGACGGGGCCGTCAGGTGCAGACTGGCACGGCGTACAGGATGTATCTCAACAGACAGATGAGCACTCAGATTCACAGATACAGATAAACATTCACTGCTTGAGCTCAGCTCCATCTTGTACTGTTATTTTGTGTCATTTCTGTTTTGCAGTACCTTTTGAACTCTTTTGAATGTCTGTGTTGGAATTTAAGAATGCATTTCTATAATATCAAACTTTCAGAGATATTCAGGGGTCAAGCTCAGGCACCTAAATGTTATTAATTCTGACTCTACACAATGGCAAGAAAATAGGGTATAACTTAACTAACTTTAAGTAAATTTTTATTTTTTTGGATATTGATTTCTGTTGTTTTCCCAATAAAAATGATGTCTTCATCTGGAGGAGGAGGATGTTATTAAGGAACTCACTTGTGTTAACTTGTGCTTGCTTGTTCAATGGTTTGGGGTATGATTTTTTTTAGAGAAGTCAAAGCTGCATTTATTTGATCAAATATACAGTAAAAATAGTAGTATTTTGAAATATTATTACAATTTAAAATAATAGTTTTTATTTAAATGTATATTTTAAAATGTCATTTATTTCTGTGATGGCTAAACCTGAATTTTCAGCATCATTTCTCCAATCTTCAGTGTCACATGATCATTCAGAAATCATTGTAACATGCTGATTTGCTGCTCAAGAAATTGATCAATGTTGAAAACAATTGTGCTGCTTAATATTTTTTGTGGAAACCGTGATACATTTTTTTTCAGGATTCTTAGAATATAAAGTTCAAAAGAACAGCATTCATTTAAAATATAAATATTTGTAAGATTATAAATGTGTTTGCTGTTACTTTTGATTGATTAAATGCATCTTTGCTAAATAAAATGATAAATTTCCTTCAAGAAAAAAGACCCCAAACCTACTGACTCCAAATATATATAGCAGGAGTGACCTTTGTGATGTCATTTATCATCAGCTTTTCTTTGAAAAAGAACAGAGATATGGAAGGTCAGCATCTTCTCCATAAATTATTTCAGTTTATCTTGCTGATGTTATAGACATAGACATTCCTGTTTTAGACAGTCCTCTCTCAAATGTTACAGGTATGGAGAATGATGTAATCGGTGAATCTTACGAAATCTGTCCAGAGATCATATTTGTTTCTAAAATCAAATCAAATCTTTTTACAATATTTTTTGGAGCCTGTTTTAGGATCATCAAGTTTGCGTTGTGACAATTTCCTCCTCCAGTTTTCATTTTCTTAAAAAAAAAAATCTTTATTTTAAGGTGAAATGTTTTAAACTAATTCAGTGGTTCCTTGTATTGTCTTGTTTCTCAAACACATAAATGCTCTCTTACGGTTTTGCGGTCTGTGCACTAATGCACACCTAGACAGGAAGTCTCTCTATAAGAGAGAAGTGTGCAACAAGCCCAACTCACATTTTTTGTGCACGTTAGATATGGTGCGTGGTTCCTGTTTGCTTTATGACTGATGAGGTCCTTTCAGTCCTTCCTGGAATACGAGTCATTTTCAGAAATAATTTGGATACCTGATGTCATTTGGTAGACGTTGGTAGCCATTTGCTTCTAATTAGTTATGAGTACTAACTAAACTACGGTGAGAAGACTGCATTGGTGGTCATTCCAGCTGATGCAGCAGTGCCTTGCAGATCAGGTATGTGATCTCTTCCTCTTGGCTTTCACTCGTCTGGCCAAACGATCTCCACAGACTGCCGTTATTGATATAACAGGCCTGATTCTCTGTTAGGTGAGCCTTGTTAGGCTCTTTATTGGAGTTAGAATGGCTAAATAAAAGTGTGTAGAAGATTTATGATGAAAATACCACAATTACTGGAACTCATAATAAGTACGTATAACTGACTAATAATTTATCGCAATTACGGACACAAAGATCAAATTAAGGTGTTTTTTTACATTGTTATTTACATAAGTGGATCGATGTCATTATGAAAATATAGGAAATTAGCCCTAATGTATTATTTCAGATTTCTAAAACAGCTGCACAATTCATCAAGTCAATCCATTTTCCATTAAGAATCATATAATTATGAAGAAAAGTATATATGTGTTGGCTCACGCACATGTTCATCAGTCTTATCTAGAGATGGTTAGGTTTTCTTGGACATCCTGACTGATTTATCCTCTCTAATTCGTGCTTGGAGGCTCTTTAAACTTAATGTTTGGGATAACGAAATCCATAGGGATGAGGTTTTGGGTGAAGAACTCCCCTGCTGATGGTTCTTCCATGCCACATGAAAGCTTCTGACTTCATGCCCAAGTAGTGACGGAGAACGCTGTCTGCTTTTGTTCTAGAGGATGCGCTGGGTTTACGTTGTCACACTTCATGCATCTGTCTGGCTGAATTTATGCTGCGCTTTGAACATTCTCCTGAATGCTTTTGCACCAGTACTTGAGATCTTGAGATAGGCATCAAACGAAAAGCAAAAGATGGTCATATTGGTGATGTATGTCGGGCCATGGAGGATTTTACAATCAGATTTTTTCATGTGCGACTGCCGCCATAGTGGTGCTGATCTTGGACTGGGGCCAGCAGAAGATAAACACATGCTTTCATGTACTTTATGAGTGAGTTTAAATCAAATTCAGGCAATCAATATTACCGAAGTGCCTTCAAACTTTGTATGAATTGGAGAACAGGCCACAAGCAGCTCCAGCTAATGGTCAGCTGGAATGCTTGATGGATGATAGGCAGACTTAACGAGGAAGGGAGTGTAGAGAGCAACAGTCGACTGCGTCGCCCTGCCTGCTAGGTCAGAGGAAATGGAGGATTGTTCGTCTCTGCCGGCTTGTGCTCTGTAACTGGGCCACCATTGTGACAAGCACAGCCCAGCATTCAGCCTTAAATAATGGCAATCCTCACAGCACTCTGTACCGGCCTGTGTTCACTTGCCTTGACAACCAGACTGTTGTGTTCAGTTTTGATACGGCTCTTCAGGCAGAACGTTACTGTTTTGTTTTAGATGTTCTGGTCGTCTGAGGGCACGGCTGATTGAATGACTTCTGTGTTTTCAGGTTTAATCGTCCAGCAAATTGCAGTCAGGAAGTTGTGATTTTTGTTTCCTGTCTGTACAGGGCGTGCACTGCACCGTTAGATTGACAGCTTCTGTGGGTTTGCTGCAAGCTAATGTGATGTAGATTTGCACAGTCACACCTTTGAGGCAGGCAGAAAAATATTTGCAAGAAACACTTTGTAAACACTTAGTTTGTCTTTGTACTCGACTGTTGGTTTGTACCTTACCTTGTATAAAAAATTACAAATATATAAAAAATAATAATAAAATAAACGATATATTTATATAATAATATATTATATTGATATATTTTTTATTTCTCAAATATATTTGTATGTGTGTATATATATATATATATACATACAACTAAAACATTTCAAGTAATATTTAAAAAAGAAACAACTATATGGATATATATTTTTTTTTTAAAATAATAAAAATCATAGATTCATAACAACATAACATAACCAAAATAAGGAAACCCAAAAAGGAGAAAAAACGAAAACAAGAGAATACCAGACCAAAGACAAGTAAAGATTATCAAAAAAAGAAAAGAGAGGCAATGTGAAGTATTTGATGAGAAATACGTTTTATTGATAATAATAAATCTAAGTATTAATATATTTATATAATAATATATTATATTGATATATTTTTTATTTCTCAAATATATTTGTATGTGTGTATATATATATATATATACATACAACTAAAACATTTCAAGTAATATTTAAAAAAGAAACAACTATATGGATATATTTTTTAAAAAAAAATAATAAAAATCATAGATTCATAACAACATAACATAACCAAAATAAGGAAACCCAAAAAGGAGAAAAAACGAAAACAAGAGAATACCAGACCAAAGACAAGTAAAGATTATCAAAAAAAGAAAAGAGAGGCAATGTGAAGTATTTGATGAGAAATACGTTTTATTGATAATAATAAATCTAAGTATTAAAATTTTTGATTTTTGCATGCAGACTTTGGAAAGCTGAGCACATCTTTGAGACACTGTTGAGATCTCTTCTGGAATGCATGCAAGATTTACTGGGGGCTTCAAGAAGCAGGAGATTTAAGCCAAAGTCAACATTTGCTCTTGTTTTGGAGAAACAATTGAGATATGAAAGAGATATCATTTGTGATTTTGCATAATAGTTCTTAATGTTGTCTTATTGTCTTCGAGTTTTTTTTTTTTCATTCAGTAACCAAAAGTCCTGTATTATTCAGTGATCACTAGTATCTCCACACTAAATTGTCTCTGTTTCTCTCTGCTGCAGCTGCCAAGCGCCCCTCCTCCGTGTCCTCGCTGAGTGGGATCGTGAGCCGTATGGCCTCCTCAGGGGGCGCATCCCGCGGGAGCTGCACCTCTGTTAACACGGTGTGCTCTGACAGTGACCGCGGAGCCAGTCTCAGCTCCTCTGCTTCGTCCGCCTCACTGCAGGATGGACACTCTTCCTCTTCCTCCTCATCACTCCCCTACGGAGCCGTGCCGACCTACCCCGGGCCACAGCGCAATGGCTCCGACATCAGCCTGGACCTCACCCCTCTCTCCCTGCTGACAGGAGCCGGTCCCCTCCGTGCCTCCACAACACCGCTGCCCAAACTCACTCGTCTGGAGAGGGTGGCGCTGGAGATAGTGGAGACAGAGCAGGCCTACGTGAGGGACCTCAAGAGCATTGTGGAGGTAAGAACCAGACACATGCTGACCTCTTTTCCTACAATGTTTTGTACTGTAACACAAAAACAACGTTGAGCTAATGTTGAAGTAATGGGTTTTTTAAAAATTTGAACCTTGAAGGGATAGTTTACCAAAAATAATTAAAATTCTGTCATTTACTCATTCTAATATTGTTCTAAAACACATATAAACAACTTTTGAAATATCTTGAGGCAAGGTTGGCTCTTTTGACTTGACTGTCCAGATAACCCTAGAAACTCGAAAGCAACCCAGTAAAAACCACTCAGTACACCTAACAACAGCCTAGAAACCCCCCAAAACACAACTGTAAACAGCTACTGTTTCAACATCGTAGAAACAACCCAGAACAACACAACCTAGCGAGCACCTAGTAATATCCTAGAAACCATCAAAAAGCACCACAGCGAACAGTTAGCAAAACCTTAGAAGTCAGCCAGAACAACCTAGCAACAGCTTAGAAACCACCCAAAACCCTTGAGTGAACAGCTACTGTAGCAACACCATAGAAACCCAGGACTCCTTAGCAAGCCCCTAGCAACAGCCTAGAAACCACCCAAAAATCCTGAGTGAACGGCTACTTTAGCAACACCATAGAAACCCAGGACACCTTAGCACGCCCTAGCAACAGTCTAGAAACCATCCAAAACACCACAACAAACAGCTAGCAATACCATAGAAACCTCCTATAGCAACACCCAAGAAACTACCCAGAACAATCTAGCAAATATCTAGCAACAGTCTAGAAATCACCTAAAACACCACAGCGAACAGCTAGCAACACCATAGAAACCAGCCAGAACAACTAGCAACTTCCTAGAGACCACTTAAAACACTCTAGCAACCACATAGCGATCAATGGGAACCAATCACAGCACCCTAGCATGGTGGCGGTAAGGGTTTACATGGGCAAGAACCCCAATTCTAATGTCTTAAGTGTTTTTTTATCAATATGAATATTAAACTTAAATTAGATGACTTTAAAGGGCATCTATTATGCCCCTTTTTACAATATGTAATACAAGTCTCAGGTATCCCCAGAATGTGTCTGTGAAGTTTCAGTTCAAAATACCCCATAGATCATTTATTATATCATTTTGAAAATGCCTGTTTTGATTCTTGAAAGCAGAAACATACTGTTTTTGTGCATGTCTCTTTAAATGCAAATGAGCTGCTGCTCCCCGCCCCCTTTTCCAGAATAGCACTTTGCAAAAAAAAAAACCATCTGTTTGGTTTTGGTTATCATGTCTAACACGTTGAAATCATGCATTTTAGAGCCATATTAGGTTGATTTTCTGATATAGGTTTTTCTGAGCGCACACATCCAAAGCACACGCACAGAAAGCGGCTGTCACGTTGCATGTGAGTACTAAACTAAGTTCTCTTTCATGTCTTATTGCGCTTAAATGGTTAAATACACACAAGTTTGTTAAAAACACAAGTTTCAAAAAGTCGTTTATGTCTGTGAAGGTAAACAGCTGGGAAAGACATCAAATGTTTATATTAGATCTATGTATTAAGTGACAACAGCGTAATATACAGTATCTATAGACATTATTCCTGAACACATAAGTCACGCCTGACTCTTAACCAGAAGGATGCTTTGCATTTCAGGTCTGCAGTGTTTCTAGTATGTTCCGAGCTGATAATCTAATGTTAAACCTATTAAAGGGGTCATATAATGCTACATGCACTTTTACAAGTTGTTTGAACTGAAATGTGTGTTGGCAGTGTGTGTACACAACCACCCTAAAATGATAAAAATTCACCCAGTGGTTTTTTGTTAATCTACTAAAATCTTTACCCCTTTCTCAAATCGAGCCGATCTCAGATACCTGTCTGTGTGATGTCACACAGACAGGCCCCTCCCACGATAGTTTGATTGACAGTAGCGTTTCAGCACAGACTGGACTGGCGTCTTACCTTAGACCCGCCCTGAGTGAGCTGTCATAAGGCCACCATTGTTTCACCGCTGGAGCAGATGTAGACAAGAATGACTCCTAAGCGATTGAGGTCTTCTGGTGTTGGATGTAATAATGAACATAGCAGTCGTTGTTTACTCCCGACATCTGAGCCGCTGAAGACTCAGTGGATTATGTTTGTTTTTGAAGGGAATGCGCCCCCAATCTACATAAATGCGTCTATGTTCGCGCAAATCATTCGTGATCCAGCTTCACCTACAGAAGAAGTGAGTATAAGGTTTTTTTAATGAATATTTGCAAAGCGCCTTAACTAATAATGTGCTAATTAGCAAGTTTCACGATGAATGCGGATAAAATAAACAGTCTCTCTGAGAGCGGCTTGGAAGAGAGGGGCGGGGTCAGCAGAGCTCATTAACATTTAAAGGAAAATGCTACAAAACTGCATGCTCTGACAAGAGCTGTTTTTGACAGGGTAAAAAAGGTGTTTTTTAGACTACCATTGAGAAATTTTAACCAAACTATGATACAGACTTTTCATTAAGACCCTAAAGAATCATATTAGCTTGTGGAAAATGGGCATCCTATGACCCTTTTAAAATGTTTTTTAAAAGCACATTGCTCCATAGCGCCATCTATGACCTGCCTCAAGACCTTTTACCGTTTGCACTGCACTTGATGCACACTGCTTATGATTTATGGGGATTAAAAAAGGAGCAGGTGGATTTTTATCTTTGGTGTGTAGGTGGTTGTGTACACACACTGCCAACACACATTTATGTTCAAACAACATGAAAAAGTGAATTTTGCATAATAGGTGCCCTTAAAAAAAAAATCTCAGAATGACTGCGGAATTGAATACTATTATTTTTAATACAAAGCCACCCAGGTGGTGCTGCATTCTTTTTGAGCTCTAGGATTGCTCAGTCACAGAAGCTCATCCAGATCAGCATTTCTACCATCTCTTCTCCCGCTGCCCACCCTGTATATAATCCAGGACTCATATAACAGACAGCAGAGAAAGCTGAGCCCTTTCCCTGTGCCAGCGGTGATTTAAAATATGATCATTGTGAGATTCTGTTGTGCCATTCATCACACATTCAGGTGGAGCAAAGGAGGTCATGGCACTGGATGAAAGCTGCAATAAATTCAGACTGTCACTTCAAACGCATGCACAGCACTGATCCGGGACAATAAGAAGGCTGTTGCTCAGCATTTCAAACACACGCACACACAATTCAGAGTGTGCTGTAAATATAAGAGACTCTTTGTGGATGCTTTTCAACACATTCATCATATTTCCATGCACAGGTTGCTGGAAGATCAGACCTCTACTGTGACCTCCAATGGTGGTCATGGACGTGCACCAAGACATGTTATGCCCTGTTCACATGGGTAGCGGTTTTATTGGCACTAATTGCCAACTAGTTAACATGTTAATTAACTATTTTTATCACTTTTTTTCAAAAGTGTGTATTACTGTTTGAGTTTGCTTTCTAAAGATCCAAATTTATAGTTTGCAGTTTCATACTATTGACAGCACTTATTATAAATATAAATAAATAAATAAGCTGTTTTCTCTCTTAAATGTTTATGCATCTAACATTCATAGCAAGCAAAATAAAATAAAAAGATATGCATAAATATGTCAACTTAATATAATGTAAATATTAAGTAACAATATAAAATACATTATTTAACATTATTTAATAAATTAGTAACTATAAATGGGATATATAACCAATCAAATTTCAGCATATTTTGGGGTCCATGGCATCATTTATTTAATTTATTATTATTTTTTAAAATCTGGATTAAAACATCACACTGCGATGGTTAAGCTTGATTGGTGCTGTTGCATGGGCCTGGAGAGAGAAGTGAAAGTGGTCTGTCATGAGTGACAGGCTCATTGTGAACAGCTTTTGAACTCATGGGAATATTGCCAGTGCCAGCCATCAACAGGTGTGCGTGAATGTACTGTATAGTATGTGTGCGTTATCCTTTGTATCTGTGACTGATTGATTGCAGAGGCTCATGGGGACATAGGCCGGAGGTTGGGGAATGCCTGAAATGTTACTCCTTTTCCCTTTTGCTGATGGTTTATTTGAAGCTGAGCTTTTCATAAGCCAATAAAAAGAGAAGGCATGCAAGCTTATGCTGCTTTATGAAAAGATTCCTTCAGATCAAATAACCATAAATTGGTTGTCGAAAGACGCGAATCATGCCGAGGAATGCTGCTGTTTTATCAATCTGTGGTCTCAAAATGGAGGCTGAGTGGTGGACGGTTTTGGGGACATAGTGCTGACTCTGGAATATGTGTGTATGATGTCTTACTGGAGTCATGCCGAGCCGGGCTCAGCTAATATTAGTTAGAGCTGTCTGGTTTTGATAGAAAGCGTAACAAAGAATGATGTCAAGCTAGCTGGAAACGAGATGAGCGTGAGCTCACAGTGCACGGCTTTGCTGTGTGTGACTGTTTTGCCTGCTGTTGTGTGGGTTATTATTAGTTTGTGAAGTGTTGTTTGGTGATATTCAGGTGAGCTGGGTTCAGCTCCAGTGTGTGTGTGTTGATGTGGGGAGCGTTTAGGGGAGCAAGAATGAGAGATTCCCCCTTAGTTTCAGCTGCATTTCAGCCAAATAGGACAGGAAATTGGGGGAAGAGGGGGGCTTGGCTGTAGCCTCCCATTCTGGGGCACAAGCAAAGATGGAGAGGGGCTGCTCACGAGAGAGAGGGACCGACTCCTGTTCCAAACTCCAAACTGACCTAGTTTCTCAGACAAAGACTCTGAGAGTGTTCAACTTCTGTTACAATCTCTCTCTCTCTATTGTCTGCCACATTTCCAAACTTCCTCTCGTAGATAATATTTCCTTTCTTTCTTTCTTTGTTTGTTCATCAGTCTGTTTGTCTGTCTTTTTCCTTTTCTTTTTGTCTTTTCTTTTTTCTTTTTATGGCCTTCCTCTATCTCACTTTTTAAGTCTGTCTGTCTATTTGTCTTTTTGTTTTATTTGCCTTTTCTTTCTTTCTCTCTCTTTGTTCATCAGTCTGTCTTTTTCTTTTTGTCTTTTATTATCTTTTCTTTTTTTTCTTTTCTTTGTCTGTCTTCCTGTGTGTTTGTCTGTCCTTGTTTATTTTCTGTCTGTCCTTTCTTTCTTTCTTTGTTTCTGCCCTTCTGTCTCTTTTTTTTTTACTCTGGTCTTTTTTATTTCTATTTTTTTATTTTATTTTCTGTTCTGTCCTTGTTTATTTTCTGTCTGTCCTTTCTTTCTTTCTTTGTTTCTGCCCTTCTGTCTCTTTTTTTTTACTCTGGTCTTTTTTATTTCTATTTTTTTATTTTATTTTCTGTCCTATCTATCTGTCTGTCTGTCTGTCTGTCTGTCTGTCATGTCTCTCTTGAGGCTCTCTCTTTTATGTCTTCTCTTCTCTTCTCTTTCTTAGTGTTTTCTCTCGTTCTGGTCCATATCTCATATGTGAACATTTATGTTTTTCTTTTTGCCAGACTGGCTGTCATAACACACTTCATGTATGCTCTAGTAAGTCATTTCGGTCAGACGGCATCTGCCAAGAAAATGTGCACATAACTTATGGTTCCTTTGTCTGTGGCTGGTCCCGCTTGTCTTGCACACTCTTCTTTCATAACTCACAATGTAATCCTCAGATTTCCCCTCACCTCCTGGATTTTCACTCTTCCCAGAGTAGCTGTATCATCACTCATCTCTTCATCTAGCGCTCCAGTTTTGCCTTCTCATGAGCACTGTTCGTTCAGGGGAATTATCTCCGGTCTACAGCTGAGTGTAAATCACCGTAATTACAGTGTCCGTGTTCCCTTGCCTTGTAAAGGTGCTGAATGTGCCAGTCCCTTATTTTCTGGCTCATTTTGCCCCCACCTCAGCATGTTTGCCTTCCCAGACTCCTTGTGGCTCTGGAAACAAACAGAAGAGAAAAAAAGACCCCACGTTTTACAGTCCAGGACTGTAGAGGCACAGGGAAAGAGCCCCTTATAAATCCAGACCGCTGTCTTACAGGACTCATATGGTTTGTTTATTTGTACCTATTTATTGTAGCAGTTCAGTTTGAGTCTTTTTTTTTTTTTAGTTTGTTTTGCCTGGTGGCCTTCTTTTGTTGGCTCCAGTGTCCGTAGTTTCTCTCAGGAGATTGCCATTCTTGGCACTTTCCCATACTTTAGTCCGTTGCAGTCTGGTGGAATTTGTTTGTCTATCTTGGCTTGTTGGTTTTGGTCCCGGGGCTTGGTTATTAAGGGTTAATGAGGCCAGGCACTGATAAACGGACTTGATAAATAGTGCTGTTTAACTCCGCAAGCCCAACAGCCAGGAACCAGACCACTCCTGAGACCATTTGCCTCTGCTCTATTTTGGTTTTTGGCATCTGTTGGACACAAAATAGGCTGTAAAATATGATTAACTTTCTAATTTAATGCAAAACGCCTTTTACTCATTAAGGCAAGCATGTATCTTCTTAACGGCAGCATTATTATGATTATAGTGTTGGAAAACCCCTTCAAGCTGGAAATCTCACTACCCAAGGTTGTTGGTTTAGTATAAATGATAGCTAATTATTAAGCTATGCAATAGATCTTTTTTTAAGGAGACATTCTGGGTTTAGTACAAGTTAAGCCCAATGGATATTGTGGCATAATGTTGATTATCACAAAAAACAATGTGGACTCTTATTTTCTTTAAGAAGAAAGAAAATTTTGCAGCGTATGTAAATGGAACCCCTTTTTGAGGATTTAAAAGCAAAAATGTGAAGCATTTTATAAAAGCACTAACATTGTAAAGTGTATGTATTATTTGAGCTGTAAGTTGTTCTTGTGATTTTTGCAGTCATTTTAATTTGAAAAATTGGATAATTACCATTAAAAATTGTGGGATTGGTAAGATGTTTTTTTTTAACAAGAAGTCTCTTATGCTCACCATTTAAAAAATAAAATAAATAAAAAATAAACAGTAAAAATAAGTAATATTGTGAAATGTATTACACTTTGAAACAACTATTCTCATTTTCAATATATTTTAAAATGTAATTTATTTCAAACATGAATTTCAACAGCCATTACTTTAGTCTTCAGTGTCACAATTTTTTTTATTTTTTATTTTTTTATTAATTTTTTATTTTATTTACTGTGATGACATTTACTATGATTTTTAGTGATTAAAATCACTTCACTTTTTTTTGTATAAAGTTACACTACTGTTCAAAAGTTTATGGTCAGTAAGCGTAATATTTTTTATATTTTTGTATGAATGATTCTTATGAACAATAGCGTAATGCAGAAAAGGTTAGTTTATTACAGTAAAATCATGTTAACATGCATATCATTTACGTCTTTTGGCAAAACTGTTGAAACCAGAATTATTTTATTGTCTCGTATTGGCTCTTTTCACTTCCATCCTAGGTTTCTCACTGTGAACCAGATCTTCCTTAAACTTTAACCCAGTGGAACAGCTTGCCTTTAACTCAGTATTAACCAACCACTTCAAAACTGAGAAAGTTGGTGACCCCGATTCTCTGTTCCTCAGCAGGTGACCCAAACCTGCCAGTATTTTACGTGGCATGATGATCAGGCAGTTTTCTCATGAGACCAGCTTATGACTTTTTTCGAGGTCAGAGGTGAAAGAGCAGAGAGAGAAAAGATAAATATTGTTAGAGGGGCTCCTTTTAACCACTGTATTAGTTGCATGCTTTGCTTTCCTGCATCGCTTTGTATGTTTACTCTGAAGATCATTGAGGGGCTCAAGTGTGGCGTCCATGGTAATTACATTAGGGGTGAGAGTCACGTCCTGCTGTGTCGGAGCCATTTATAGTCTCTTTATAGTCCATGAGTTATGAATCACCTCAGTGTTTGCAATGGGAAAATGTAATGGAATAGAGGTACTTCACCAATTTCACAGGTCTCACAGGAGTTTTCTGAATCACTAACAAGCAAAGCAAATTCAAGTGTGAAAATGCCTAGTATGATTTCTGTGAGGTCATCCACGCTCAATTTTCTCACTTTCTCGCTCTCAGGACTATCTTGGCTGCATTATTGACTGTGGCGACTTGCCTCTCAAACCCGAGGAGGTCAGCACCCTCTTCTGCAACATTGAGGACATCTATGAGTTTAACAGGTGGGTGTCTTCATTCTTGATGTCTGTCTGAGTGGCAGCGGTGTCTGTTGAATTTGTCTCAAACACAATGACTGGCCTGGGTCCTGGTCTGTCCCACCATGAGGGACAATGTGCAGATGTCTGCCAAGAGCGAGTATACGGCATTTCTGATGCACTCCAGCAGACTGTCCCTGGACTGTTGTAGTTATCTGGAATGCTCTTCAGGAGACGTTTTCTCAGCCGTCATCATAGCTTAAGCTCGTTTTAAAAGACGTGCAACATATGGTTTATTACACTGTGAGTTCATGCATGGTCCACCGAACAATTTAGTCAGTCTTGTTATGTGTCTGTTTCACACTGTTTATTACAAATGACACTCAGTGTTTATTTCAGACTTGTATGCATGGTTTAGCCCAGAGGTTTCTAGTTGGTGGGTCGCTGCTACTTGCCACTCATATATCCTGTTTTTACATAATTCTCTTTCTTGGTTCACCTCCACTCCACATCATCCCTCTAATGACATTAGGCAGTTTCGAAATTGAACATGGCGCCTTACCGCCAGCTCTTGTGGGAAATGATCTTGGCTGTGCTGCAAACAGAAAATCTTAAAAACTCTTGGGTGTCCTCATGACCTTATTTAATATAACTTCCTTTAATAAAATGGCAGGAGTTTTCTTCCCATCGTAGCAGCTTTTGGCCTCTGCTTGAGATTATATTGGCGTGTAATGAGTAGAATGAGTTATTAGTTTTTAGGAATACCATTCTTAAAGGGATAGTTCACTTATAAATAAATGATCTTTCATAATTTACAGTTTGTAGCATCCACAGGCTGTCAAGCTCCAAAAAATGACCAAAAAAATCACCATACAAGCAGTCCATACTGTATGACTACATTACTTTTTTTTAAGTTTGGGGTCGGTAAGCTTATTTATTTGTCTCTAAATGGTTTACATTTTTTTTGTATGTGTTTAAAGTGTCTTATACTCACCAAGGCTGCAATTATTTGATTAAAATTACAGTAAAAACAGTAAAATTGGGAAATATTATCGCAATTTAAAATAACTGTTTTCTTTTTTAATATATTTTAAAATGTAATTTATTCCTGTGATGGCAAAGCTGAAATTTCAGCATCATTACTCCAGTCTTCAGTATCACATGATCAGAAATCGTTCTGATATGCTGATTTGCAGCTTAAAAACATTTCTTATTATTATCAATGTTGAAAACAGTTTTGCTGCTTAATATTTTGGAAACCGTGATAATAAATATTTTTTTTGTTGAATATTTTAATGAGTAGAATGTTCAAAAGAACAGCAACTTTTATTTATAAATCTTTTGTAACATTGTAAATATCTTTACTGTCACTTATGATCAAATAAATGTGTCCCAGTTGAATGAAAGTATTTATTTCTTTGTAAAAAAAAAATGTTTTTAATATAAATCTTTTTAAATATCTTTACTGTCACTTTTGATTTTAATGGACCGTGTTGAATTAAAATATGAATTCCTTTGTATAAAAAAATCTCAAACTTTTGAACAGTCGGGTGTATATTCCATATTTCATCTGAAGCCATATACTATATATTTACATGATTAATAGACTGAAATTTAAGTCACTCTAAAATTAAATCAAATCATTCATTTAACTCGGCATGCAGCCCTCAAATTATATGAGAATGAATAATGGCTGAAATTGGGTTTGTTCATCCCACAAAGCTTCATGTTTATGAAAAACAGGGAGTTGGAAATTATTCAATATTTCTTTGATTGTGTTCAGGGAAAGAATAACAGCATGTGGGTTTGGAACGACAAAGATGGTGAGAAAATGATTACAGAATTTTCATTTCTGAGTGAACTACCCCCTTAAATCAGCTCTCGTGCCTCTGTAGTTGTTAAGACTATATACAATTGAATGATTGAATTTTCCCTCTTTCTTATAGTTTAAGCAGACAAAGGCTCTCTCTTTGTCTGTTCTTACTCTTAAAAGCCCTCTGCTCGTTGCTGTAGAATGTAGCCCCTGTATTCAGACTTGATTCTGTTGAGTCTACTTTCTTGGCACCGGTCAGAGCTTTAGGACACGTACAGATGTCATGTTCCTCTTAGCCAAAGCAGCCGGGCTCCGAGGTAGAGCTCAGGCCCCTGTGGTGAACGAGCCACACATGACCTGTCAGAGAGTGAGGCTGCAGCCAAGCGAGCAGTGCATCCTGGGACAGCAGACAGGACTTATTTTGTTCCCACAGACATCTGTCCAGTTATAGTGAAGCATTGTAAATTGTCCCTTTGCACTGGAATGCTGCATTTGTCTTTTGCAGCGACTGCAACAGAACAGGCTGTTTTTGCTGGCTTGGGAATCTCATCTCTATTTTGCAGTGATGAAAACATTCCACTGCTGACTCATTCTTGTGTTTTGCAATAGTTCTTTTAAAACCTTATTATCAGTTCTTATTGTTCTAGGTTTATTTTAGCATTTGTAATCGCACCCTTATTTTTTTTCCCCCTTTCTGATGGCCTTAAATGGGTGTTAAAACTTCAGGGTCAGCTACATGGCACATTGTACTCAGTGACTCTTCAGAATAGACCTTTTTAAAGCCATACTAAATACATAATAGGTATACACTTTCAAAACTTTGGGGTTCAAAGTTTTTAAGGTGTTTTTTTTTCAAGGAAATAATACTTTTATTCAGCAAGGACACATAAAATTGATCAAAATGACAGTAAAGACATTTATGATGTTCCAAATTTCAGTTTCAAATAAATTTAGTATTTTTGTACTTGAACTTTCTATTCATTAAAATAATCCTGAAAATATTAATCCACAAAAATATTAAGAAGAACTGTTTCGAACACTGATAATAATAAATGTTTTTTGAGCCCAAAATAAGCATATTACAGTGATTTCTGAGGGATAATTTGACCCTGAAGACTGAAGACCGAAGACTGGCTGCTTAAAATTCAGCTTTATCATCACAGTAATAAAAATATATTAAAATAGAAAACAGTTATTTAAATTGTAATACATTTTCACAATATTATATTTTTATCAAACAAAAGCAGCCTTGGTGAGCATTTGCATAATTTGATAAAAATTACAGCTTGATTTCAAATGACAAAAATATTCTGCTCAAAAGTTTTAAAATGTCATATTTTATCTTAAGTTTGTCTTTTAGGTAGTAACCAAGCACACTAACGTAAGAAAAAAAACATTTCATCACAACCATGGGACCGTCAAAATTTTTTTTTAAATGTGTAATACATTTTCATAATAATTACATAATAATGTTTTAAAAATATTTTCATAATATTTTATTTTTAATGATATAAGTATGCATATATTTTTCACTTTTTTTTTTTTTTCACATTTTCATTTTTTTCTATAATGAATTTTCAAAAGGCTTCCAAATATTTTTTAGTGATTTTAATGAAATTTGTTACTTTAAAAAATATTTAACTAATGGGTAATAAAAGATTTCTAAAAATGGGACACCCTATGTAGCAAGTACACAAGTGTGCCATTTCAGTCGGGACCATTGAGATACACTTTTATTTGCCCAGACAGATTTCCTCCATTAAGTGAGACCGCAACAACCTTTATCTCCTTTGTGTGCTCATACGGGATCACGCCTGTCAGTTTACCGTGCATTTACTTCATTTTGGATTCAAATACACCTTAACACTGCAGACAGACACTGTTCATTTCTTAATAAAGACAAATCTGGTTTTCCCTAAAGCACACATCTCACTGTCCTCGTGCCTCCCCAATGTCTCACTGTCTGCTTTGATCTCGTTTGAGAGAAATAATGGGTGTAGATTTGTCCTGAGGATTTGTATATTGCATAAAAAAAGAAGAATGACTGTGTGAATTTCCCCCACCATGATGCTGTCTCCAGCAAAAATAAAAGCTTGACTGCTGTGGGAAATACGAGTTAGATGAAAGGAACCGTAATGTAGCGAACTTCTGTTTGAGTTATATACACCATGTTAATGGATGAATGGTTGGGAGTAGGACAAAAGAAAGGGATGAGACGAGGAGGAGAGTATGAATCGAGACAAGACGACAACTTATGAGTCGAGTCCAAAAAACAGAAAGGGTGAGGTGAAAACTGAATGGGACAAAGGGAATCACATTTTTTTTATATGCAGGGCATCTTGCAGGTAACTCCCTGTTTTTGGTCATATGAAAATAAATTGTTGGACTTATTAATTTTTTTGCTGGTGTTTATTGGAGTTTGTTGTACTACATGGATTACTAGCCAATTCTTACATGGTCAAAAAACCAATCTGGTGTCTTAGTCTTAAATTTCTAATTTTTCCTCAAGTAATACCGCAAACACTTTTGTATGTACTTTATCTGGCAAATTCCACTGCTGACTCATTCTTGTGTTTTGCAATAGTTCTTTTAAAACCTTATTATCAGTTCTTATTGTTCTAGGTTTATTTTAGCATTTGTAATCGCACCCTTATTTTTTTTCCCCCTTTCTGATGGCCTTAAATGGGTGTTAAAACTTCAGGGTCAGCTACATGGCACATTGTACTCAGTGACTCTTCAGAATAGACCTTTTTAAAGCCATACTAAATACATAATAGGTATACACTTTCAAAACTTTGGGGTTCAAAGTTTTTAAGGTGTTTTTTTTTCAAGGAAATAATACTTTTATTCAGCAAGGACACATAAAATTGATCAAAATGACAGTAAAGACATTTATGATGTTCCAAATTTCAGTTTCAAATAAATTTAGTATTTTTGTACTTGAACTTTCTATTCATTAAAATAATCCTGAAAATATTAATCCACAAAAATATTAAGAAGAACTGTTTCGAACACTGATAATAATAAATGTTTTTTGAGCCCAAAATAAGCATATTACAGTGATTTCTGAGGGATAATTTGACCCTGAAGACTGAAGACCGAAGACTGGCTGCTTAAAATTCAGCTTTATCATCACAGTAATAAAAATATATTAAAATAGAAAACAGTTATTTAAATTGTAATACATTTTCACAATATTATATTTTTATCAAACAAAAGCAGCCTTGGTGAGCATTTGCATAATTTGATAAAAATTACAGCTTGATTTCAAATGACAAAAATATTCTGCTCAAAAGTTTTAAAATGTCATATTTTATCTTAAGTTTGTCTTTTAGGTAGTAACCAAGCACACTAACGTAAGAAAAAAAACATTTCATCACAACCATGGGACCGTCAAAATTTTTTTTTAAATGTGTAATACATTTTCATAATAATTACATAATAATGTTTTAAAAATATTTTCATAATATTTTATTTTTAATGATATAAGTATGCATATATTTTTCACTTTTTTTTTTTTTCACATTTTCATTTTTTTCTATAATGAATTTTCAAAAGGCTTCCAAATATTTTTTAGTGATTTTAATGAAATTTGTTACTTTAAAAAATATTTAACTAATGGGTAATAAAAGATTTCTAAAAATGGGACACCCTATGTAGCAAGTACACAAGTGTGCCATTTCAGTCGGGACCATTGAGATACACTTTTATTTGCCCAGACAGATTTCCTCCATTAAGTGAGACCGCAACAACCTTTATCTCCTTTGTGTGCTCATACGGGATCACGCCTGTCAGTTTACCGTGCATTTACTTCATTTTGGATTCAAATACACCTTAACACTGCAGACAGACACTGTTCATTTCTTAATAAAGACAAATCTGGTTTTCCCTAAAGCACACATCTCACTGTCCTCGTGCCTCCCCAATGTCTCACTGTCTGCTTTGATCTCGTTTGAGAGAAATAATGGGTGTAGATTTGTCCTGAGGATTTGTATATTGCATAAAAAAAGAAGAATGACTGTGTGAATTTCCCCCACCATGATGCTGTCTCCAGCAAAAATAAAAGCTTGACTGCTGTGGGAAATACGAGTTAGATGAAAGGAACCGTAATGTAGCGAACTTCTGTTTGAGTTATATACACCATGTTAATGGATGAATGGTTGGGAGTAGGACAAAAGAAAGGGATGAGACGAGGAGGAGAGTATGAATCGAGACAAGACGACAACTTATGAGTCGAGTCCAAAAAACAGAAAGGGTGAGGTGAAAACTGAATGGGACAAAGGGAATCACATTTTTTTTATATGCAGGGCATCTTGCAGGTAACTCTGTTTTTGGTCATATGAAAATAAATTGTTGGACTTATTAATTTTTTTGCTGGTGTTTATTGGAGTTTGTTGTACTACATGGATTACTAGCCAATTCTTACATGGTCAAAAAAACAATCTGGTGTCTTAGTCTTAAATTTCTAATTTTTCCTCAAGTAATACCGCAAACACTTTTGTATGTACTTTATCTGGCAAAGAAGAACCTGGGAAAGTATTTAGCATGCACGTAACACACATATTTCAAGTCTCAAACTATTGGTCCGCCAACACTTTCCTGGGATTTGAGTGAAGGGGCCAAAACCTCACAAGATTTGCCAAGATTTAATTGAATCCAACTTATCTACTACAGTTCGGACTAGAAAGCAGATGCTTGTGACTTTGAATCGATAGTAACATCTTTATTGTTTTACAATTCCAAATGACGGAACTACGTGTTGTTATTATGCCACACCTTTCAAGACAATCAAGTCATCGTTCGGGAACATCCCATCCCTACAGGCACCTCAAACGCCAAGCTCTTTGGACAATCCAAGAAAGCATGCATGAACTCAATTAAATTTCCTTTATAACCACAGTGAAGTCCCCCTACCACAAAGGTCAGCCACTAAATGAATTTCGTCTTCAGAGGGGAAGAGAGGATGATGAAGGCTGGAGTGCTGCGGTTTTCTTCCGAACTTTTCCCCTCAGCCACATGAAGTAAAGTTCATAGTGTTTAGAGAGTGTCACGTTGTTTTCTTTCACGATATAGAAGGAGGGTTTCCCTTGAGACTGACCAGCCTGGCGGTTTGGGAGCCTCTTGGGAGTTTCGCTAATAGACTGAATGAAATACGGCGTGCCTGGTCGAGCCGTCATATAGCTTTCGTTCAACCCTTCCTTCAAAATACAGTCAGGGAATGTCAAACCACTCATCCTCGGTCGAAAAAGTCCCACTGGCCACAAGAGATCATATCAACTTCATAACACTGAGGGAAAATCCATTTGATTCCATCTCGTGTTTGAGTTACAATAGAGATTGTTTCACTAAACCAAGCCCAAGCTTCCTTTATTGCATTCCAGACACTGTTACTAGCCAATATAATTCAAAATCAATGTTTTCCATTGATTTACTACCTGAAATGAGACTTTTCCCCACTAGAAGAATGCACTGCAGAAAGGTTTTCAATTTTGACTGTAGGGATATTGGAGTATGTTTGGAGGAAATCAAGCCAAAATGAGAGGTATCCCATCTGTGTGCATTTAAGCAATGGTTTGGTCTAAATTATAAAAAAGAAATGAATGCTGTTTGGAAACGCAGGCCGGAGTTGGAGCCCGTTCCAGTCAAGAGTGTCCTCTTGAAACTCCAGTCCCAGATGTTTCCTCAGAAAGGGAATAACATAATTTAGACAAAGACATAGTCCAAGTCTCATGTCAGAAACCTGGTTTTCATATGCCACTCGATTAATTTGTCAGCTTACAAATGCTTTTGTGAGAATTTGTGAGCAGGAATACATGTGTCATGCACCAAAACTGACTCGATTCTTGTTTTTTACAGTGAGCTTTTAGAAGATCTGGAACGTAGTCCACATGCAGCAGCCATAGCAGAGTGCTTTGTGGAGAGGGTAAGCACATGACTTAGTAAAATATACATTTCTTCCTGTTCCTTCCACACAATGCACGGATCTCAAGACAAGGAGTTTGTGTTTTAATGCACGTCATTGTAGAAGTGTTGTCTAAGGAAAATCCAGTTTTGTTACTTTTTTTTCATCTTGGGGACCTCGCTTGGCAGTATGGCAGAAGCACACAGATATATTTGGGCCAGAACAACAGATGGACTCAGTGAAACGAAACCTAAACATATCAGCAAACAGCATTGAACTTTTAACACATGCACACGTCAGCTAAGTGCATTTGCAGACACTTTTGGCGTTCTTGTCTCCAAACCACAATGACACAACAATGAGCAGACCAGGCTGGGATGGGAACCAGACAAGGACATCATTGTTTGGAGTGCTAGAGAGGTCGAATGTGCTCACGGCTCTTTCTGCAAAGATTTGTTTCATAGTTTGGAAGAAGGAAATCATTCTTTACCTTTAAATTGCCCGAGGCTGTCTCTATCTCAAGCACCAAGACCCAATGTTTACCTCCTGCTGAAACGGCCACTGTTAGGATCAATTAGGGCTGGCCTAGGAAGCAGAGAGTACATTCGATTAAGCCATTACCGGTGGGTTATTTTGAGGGTTTAGCTCAATTGAACCTTCTCTAATGTGATCTCAAAGTCAGGTTTTTACCATAATCTCTGCAACATCAAAAAAATGAAAACTTGTTCCAAATCAAGCAGTGCCTCTAGACTAGATATCAGGCTCCAAATAGAGCAGAACATAATAGATGTGTTTACATGCTCGTACAGATGTAGCTCAGTGACTGTAACTCTGCATCTGCTGAGCTGCCCATATCTGGTCAGATACGGGAATATTGGCCATTGCCAGAGCAGATGATGGGGTTCACTTGATTGGCTTGTTTTGGTACTGCTTCTGTTTTTGGTACACAAACATTTAGTGGAAAAATCTCCCACATACTGCCAAGTGAATGCCAGTCTAGATTGTGCCGTTTTTAATCGTCTGTTATATTTTTGTCTGGTTTCATAACTCTGAACTCTGTATATTTTTGATGTCCATAGTTAGTAGTGTACTTTTGTTCATAGAATGAAAGCATTATCTTTGAAGTCACTGTAACAATTTATGATTTTCTAAGTCCCCTTAAAAATTTTTTTTTTTTTTTTTTTTTTTTTTTTTTTTTAGAGTGAAGCTTTTGACATTTACACCATATACTGCATGAATTACCCAAAGTAAGTAAAGAATATTTCTATTCCTCTGATATGATCATTAAAGTACCATTCAAAAGTTTGGAGTGTGTGTGTTGAATAAATTAATACTTTTATTCAGAAAACATTCAACAAAAATGACAGTATAGACATTTATAATGTATTTCAATGTATTTCTGGATTCTTTGATAATAATTAGAAATGTTTTTTGAACACCAAATCAGCATATTAGAATGATTTCTAAAGGATCATGTGAAAACTGAAGCCTTAAGTAATGAAGCTGAAAATTCAGCTTTGCCATCACAGGAATAAATTACATTTTGAGATATATTCAAATGGAAATGCAATAATATTTCACAGTACACTCTTAAAAATAAAAGTGCTTCACGATGCCATAGAAGAGCCTTTTCTTGTCTAAATGGTTCCATAAAGAACCTTTAACATCTGAAGAACCTCTGTTTCACAAAAGGTTCTTTGTGGCGAAAGGTTCTTCAGATTATAAAAAGGTAAGAAAGAGATGGTTCTTTAAAGAACCTTTGACAATGGTTCTTTGTGGAACCAAAAATGGTTCTTCTATGGCATCGCTGTGAAGAACCCTTTAAGCACCTTTATTTTTAAGAGTGTATTACTGTTTTCACTTTATTTTTGGTCAAATAAATACAACCTTGTTGAGCATAAGAGACACAAACCAAATTACAATTGAATAAATGTATATTTAAAACTTATTTGAACTGTATATATAGCATTTTGAACTGACAAAATGGTAAAAAAAAAAAAACTTAATTGCCCCGCATGTATCCCTGAAAACTGTTGCATAATGATAAAAGTATGTGGCATTTTTGTGGACAACATAATTAGAATCATGTGATGTAGATGTCAACCACAGTGATGTATAGTCATGTAAGATATTTTTGATGAATGTCATGTGGTTTTAATTAGTCAGTGTTAGCTATATGTCTAGTAGAAAATTAGATATATCAGAGGCAAACATGCCTGGGTGATGACTACTTGGAAATACATTTCAGCCCCTCTCTTAGTATTCCCATGGGCCTCTGGTACAGCAGCAGCAGATGTTCTGCTAGAGCTGATTCTGATCCACCTTTAGAGAATTAGCTGTTGCATATTAATGCAAATAACTCTGCAGTTATTCAGATTCTTAAAAGAATATTTATTATAAAGTATTTTTATTATAAATGTTATAAGGCAGTACACAATATATATGCAACTAATGGTGGTGAAACAAACAAAAAAAAACATTGTATGAAGATGTAAGAAACAGGAGGTTGCACAAAAACAAATATTTCTGAGTTGTATTTAATATTCGGAGACTGAGTGTTTTGTAAGTGCATTTGTAGGTTTACACAGCTACCAGCTGAATGCATTACTGCAGGCTTTAGGATAAGATGAAGTGCTGTCAGGCAAAGCTGCCAAACTGGTCAGTCTCCCAGTAGACCACCCTGCTTAAATGTCTTCCTCCCTGTTTCCGTCCAGCTCAGTAACAGTCCTGCGGGACTGCATGAAGAACGAGAGCCTGGTGCGCTTCTTCCAGGAAAGGCAGGCCACTCTGTGTCACTCATTGCCTCTGGAGACTTACCTGCTAAAACCGGTGCAAAGGATTCTTAAATACCACCTCCTGCTGCAGGTCAGTGGAGTACAATGCCTTAAATCTGATCCTTTTTTTTTTCCAGAGTGATGCGTTTTTTGCTGGAAGATTTTGTAGCTATGGCATCTGCTAGCAGGGGCAAATGGGGCCATGCTAGTAAACTTGAAAACAGACGTGTAACACTTGTCAGACTGTACAGCTGATCTGTTGTCGCCCCCTTGTGGTAGGAACTATCCAAACACTTTGATAAAAGTGATCCTGGGTATGAGGTGGTGGAAGATGCCATTATAACCATGACAGCTGTTGCCTGGTACATCAATGACATGAAGAGGAAACAGGAACATGCAGTCAGACTGCAGGTAATCCCAGCCATCAAATGCTCCCTATGACTTTTTACAGAATCAAATATTCTGTAACTCTGCAATTAATTCTGTTGCAAATGCAAATGTTACTTCTTTTTATAGGAGATTGAGAGCTTGTTGCTGAACTGGACTGGGCCTGATCTCAGTGGTTTTGGAGAGCTGGTACTTGAAGGCTCCTTCCGAGTTCAGCGTGTGAAAAAGGAAAGAGCATTCTTTCTTTTTGACAAAATGCTTCTCATTGCCAAGAAGAGGCTGGATCATTTTATATACAGCACTCACATCTTTGTAAGTCATCATCATTTGTGATCAGATTTCAGTTCTAAATCTACTATATATCTACTGTTGGAGTGTAGCATTTTACTTAAAGGATTTATGATATGCAAAACTCATGTTTTTCTCATTCTCCCTCTCATCTTTGAAGTGCTGTAATCTGCTCTTAGTGGAAAGCATGAAGGATCCCCTCTGTTTTAAGGTGTCTGACCAAACGATCCCAAAACAGCAACACATTGTTCAGGTAAAATATTTAAAATGCACATCAGACAGGCAACTTCATTACTGTCTGGAACACTTTGTAGTTGCATTACTTGTTTTATGTTAAAAGTGATGAAAAAGGCAATGATGGTAAAGAGAATCTAAAAACCTTACTATACTTCTCTGTAGGCTAAAAACCAGGAGGAGAAGCGGCTGTGGCTACATTACCTCAAAAGGATGATAGTGGAAAACCATCCTGCATCCTTACCCCAAAAAGTAAGAGTTTTTTTTATGTCAAACTATGCATCATTGTGTCAAGGATAATGTACAGTCAAAATTGACCAACATTTTGAATTCAGCTAGTTCAGTTATACATAGTTTACAGATGGACACCAGAGCACTAAATATCTATTTATAACATGTTTTCCAGGCAAGACAGGTTCTTGGTGACAACTTCTGTCAATGTAAGTATTATTTGAATTCTTGTCAGTTTCAACTGTCGCTTGCGGCAATGAGTGTGACTGGCTGTGGATTATTCATGTTTTGTGCCATACTTAAGCTCCACAGTTTGATCAGCAGCCAATAAGAAAACAAATGCCTTCTCCACGACTGGACGATGTTCATAACTACCACAGAGGAAGAAGGCAATCAGGTCTGGCATGTAGTGTTCATTAGAATACCTTAAAATGCCAAACCGCACTATTTCAAATACTGATAAAAGTGAACTTCATAACTCCTGACAGAGCCACCAGAGTTCATCTACACCCCTGAGAAAGCCAAGAAAAGCCTTCCACTCCTCCTTGAGGGTAGCCTGCCATACAAGCGTGGGAGGAGACAGTCTGGTGAATATAATCTAATCTCAGATTTATAAAACGGGCATAAAATGATTAAATTCAAAAAAAATTTTGCTTTTTTTTTTTTTTTTTCAGTATATTTCACTATTTTTTATTGTATTTGTTTTATAGGTTTATTATTTATTTATTTAGTGTTGTTTACGTCATATTGATGCTGGCACCAAATTAAAATTCTTGTAAAGTTCTAAAGTTTCTAAAGTTTAAAGTCTAAAATCTAATCTTTATATGCCTCAAGCACCTGCCAAAGATATTGAAGTTGCGTTCCAGCAAAGTGGTGAGTGTAGACTTTAGTTCTTTCACTTTCTATAATTCTGTTATCTTGTTGTTCTTTGATCAGTGATGATATTTCTTGAAAGTGAATGTGAAAAAGTAAACAATTAGAACAGAGATATAGATTTTAAGAATGGAATAGTCTATAAAAAAGGAAAAAAGTTTTTCATTTTTGTTTCTATCTTTCTCTTTCTGATCTGCCATGGCTTCACTGTTCATGGAATCCAGGTTCTTTAAAGGTGTGAGAGGATTTCACTTTCTTACATTAAACATTTATATAACATACAGCCTTAATTCTATCATTTTTGCAACGTAATGCAACCTTGTAGCAATAGGTTTTGTTTATACTTTTGGTATCACAGCTGTGATAAAATGTGTATCTATTGTATATCTATGCTTCTGTCAATTGAATGGGTTTTCAGGCTGGCAGTGAAGGGGAGTTGTGCCCACAGGCTGATAGCATGGGCTCATCAGGCAGTACCAGCACTCTGGCATCCTCTGTCATTGAAGTTGAATCTGGCCGTGATGATCTGGCTTTATGTCAGGACGAGGATGACATGACCCCACTCGCTCCACCACCAACACTGTCCATTACTGAGGAAATCATGCAGTTCATTAATGAGAGCCGTGCTCGACAAGGCATGGCGGAGTTAACATCTGAAGTGGTACATATAGCACATTTTGACACCTAAAACAATATGCCAAGACAGTAATTGCTGTAGTAACTCAACACAATGCTTCATTGCTATTGGTATACACATTGACATCAGTGACTTTGTAGTAATAATGCTGTTAATGTAAGCTTCTAGTTATAAGAAAATGGCATTTTGCTCATTTTTTGTTTTCCACTGTGCCAGTTGACTCCAGAGTCCCCGGAAGTCCAGCCATCAGAGCCACAGCAGCTAGATGAATCCAAACCACTAATAGCTGAGGTGGATGAAAATAAATATCAGACCAATGATACCGAAAGATCAGAACCAGTAGAAATGCTGGTAGATGGGTCAGACAAAGAAGAGGACAGCCATCCATCCTGTGAAGCGAATGTTGCTCCAGCAGAGGAGCATGAGAAATCATCATCACTACTGCACACCTCCAAAGAAGTGAATCAATCAGGAGAGTTGACATTACCAGAGCCCAGTCATAGTGAACCATCAAAACCAGAAATGGTGAAGGTCACAGGTGAAAAGGGGGAAAAAGACACAGAGGACTCTGTTAGTGAAAGTGCAGAACCTCATTTATCTGACAATTTGGACAAAACCACTGATGACATAGCATGTGCGGCTAAGTCAGCTTGTGCTCACATTGCTACTGCATTAAAAGCAACTGACAGCTCTCTTGTCCCCAAAGCAGAACCTGAGCAAAAACTAACCAAAAGTGACAAGCAAATTATTGAGAAGATACGCAGCTATTATGAGGCAGCGGAGGCAGGTGTCGAGGAGGGTCAGACAGCCCGAAGAAACAGCTTCTCTCATATTCCTGCTGGATTAGTGAAAGATTCGGTGTCTCGATTCAATGTTTGTGTTCGCCAAGACAGTCTACTTGAGCCTGAGAGTAGCCGCTCAGACTGTGTTGAAACTGACGCAGCATCTTCATTACTCCCAACATCAGACCAAGTTGACCAGAATCTCAACCATGAGGAATCTGTTGATACAGCCATTTCTCTTGCACATTCAGATGTTATCCAAGAACAAAAAGAATTATTAAACAACAAGACTGCAGATCAAAAGGATGAAGATATTTGTGAGTTCAGTCCCTGTATGGAACTCTGGAAGGAGAAGGAAAGAACTGGCCAAGAATCTCTGAAAGTCCCTTTCTCAATGGAAAAGAGCCGTGGTGAAGATACAGTTGCTTCTGAGGAAAACAAGACATTCCTAAATTGCACAACAACCCAGGTGCATCATAAACTTGATCATTCACAGTGCTATCCAGACACTTCAGACATATCTAATCTGCAGACGAAAGAGACAGCGGATACATCTCTTCAATATAGAAGTAGAACAAGAGCTAGCATGTCCTCTCATGGAAACCTGGATAGCCTTCCCAATCAGATTAAAGTTGGCCGATGGTCTCGTCATGGCAAGGTGGTAACGTGTAGTCATACCCTTTATGAAGGAATGGAAGAGGTACCAGATTTAGGTTTTTTTGATGGTGGACCAGTCAATCAATGCTTGGTAGAAAACTCAGAAAAGATTCTTAATAAAGTGCAAATGCTTGCACGCATGTACACAGCAAAAGCAAGCAGCATGAAAGTACCACTACACCAGAAGAAAACACGAGTGAGTAGGCCAGCATGGTCAGTGGAGGGAAAAGGGAGCACTTCACCCAAGTCTCGGCAAGTACAGCTACACCAGGGGGATATAAGGATCCTAAATCAGCCCACGGGTGAGTTCATAATCCATATATAATTCAATTATGATCTTGTGTGATATTATTCTACTCATTATTTTAAAATGTTGCCTATTGTTTTGTTGCAGAAGAATCTTCAGTATCAACACCTCCTGAACCTTTTGGTCACATAATTTTAAGGGAGAAGTTGTCTACAACATATCACCAAGAAAATGATTGTAATCTCATTGGGCCCCCAGATGAGATCTCTACAAATGTATCTAATTCACTGTATTTTTCATCTGCTGAATCCTCTGCTACTTCAGTTAAAATATTAACAACTGTTGTGGAATCACAGATTTCTGTGATATCAGATCACAGAGAAAGCTCCTTAGAAAAATGTGAGTCTAAACTACATGAAGGAGATCAATCCTTGTCAGCTTGCGCTGGAACTCAAATCCAAGCTGAGCCAGAAGTGCCATCCAAACTAGCCGGATTTCCATTGGACGAGCATGCTGACAATGTACTACAGTCTGTTCCGGAGAATCATTTATATGCTGTGGACAAATCCACTGCAATAAATAGGACTGAAGAAGGACCGATATTGCAAGAGGAGAACCTGGTTTTTGTGAGCAATTCTGTTCCAGTTAGTGAACTTTTTACTGACCCAGTAATCATTAAACATTTAGAAGAAGAGACTCACAGTGTAGAGGAGAAAAGGGGCTTAACTGTACAGCACTGTAAAAGCATATTGTCCATAGATGATAAACAAGATGAAATACATACAGGACATATGAATTCCAAGCAGGACCGAGCTGATATTGAAACCACTAGCATGAAGGAAATAACACCTGTAGTGTCCACTGTTAGCGAAGTTGGAGCATGTCCCCCATTACAGCCAGCACCCTGTGTTCTAAACACTGTAGTTGTCTCTGAAGGATCAGAGCTTTCGTACCCTGTAGCCCAGGAGGTTACAACAAGCCCTACACAACTGATGCCTCTGCTTGGTTCATGTGGCAAGTGTAGTCCACTGGATGTTAAATCCAAAGAAGACCTAAGCAATAATTCAAAGACTTTGAGCCCACCCTGTACACCCCTTGTAGGTGGACCTCCTTTGGATGAGCTTCCAAGGTTTACTAGCCAAAGACCTTCCAATCTACCCTCCGCCACAGGAAAGAGAAGTCCCTTCACCAATTGGAATCCATCATCTCCAGCCACTCAGAGGTAGTCTGCTAAGCATGTCACAAACCAAGCTGTAGTAATAGGGTGTATCCAATTGATATTTAAGTTATGAGTTGTAGTTTATATTACAGCAGTGTAAGTATTTGATTTCATTTTAATCTATCTTATCTTGCCTTTTAGAGTGCCACATACTTCATTGCAGACTGAGGAACAGATTCAGGATGCTTCAGCTTCTGGCCTTTCTACTCACAGACCATCTTTTTCTCAGGCTCCTAATGATAAGCCTTCAGACATTCCTTTTGGTTGTGGACGTCCATTAGATGCAAAGCCACCATCTGCCTTTAGCCCAAACCTGCGAATGCGGTCACCCTCTCCAATTAGAAGTGCCCAGAACTCCAGATTGTCCTCAACGGACTCAGCTCTTACAAAGTCTCTTGCTGCCTCTTGTATCAGTCAGACAATTTCCCAAACCATGGCCAAGAGAGGTGCACATCTTCAGACTGCTTCCCCATCTGTAAGCTCTTCTCCTCTGCCCACATCTTCTGTAAGGTTAAGGTCACCATCACCCAAACCCATCACCTTCGACTCAAGTGCAGAGTCAGGTTTTAGGAATACATCCAGCACCGGGGTAGGGAGTCAACCCCTAAGGTCTTGTCCATCCCCAGTCAGATCGAACAGTCTTCGATCTAGTCCAGCAACAGTTCAGACCCCTCCTCCTTACCGTAGTCAACGCTCAATATCCCCTGCACCTCCAGTTAGCCTCCATTCAGCTCCATCTCCTAACAGCATAAACACTGCAGCTCTTGAACAGCCTTCTTACACCAGTTTAAATGGTAATAATAACAATAACAACAGTTTAAGTAATAACGGCTGGGCCACTAACCATAAAAAAGCACCACCCTCAAATACGGGTGAACTCCCTCATTTCCATGATCCTCAAAGAACAACCTTGCACAATAGGGTTGCTCGTCCCTTTCCATCCTCTGAGCCTAGCTCCCGTGTTCACTCCCCTTCTATTTGCCCATCTCCAGTCACCCGAATCTGCTCCCCTCCACCTGCTCCAATCCACTCCAGTCATCTGGTAACAAAGCCACCAAATCCCAGAGCCCCCAGGCAAGGTGGCTTTTTTATCCCTCTATCTTTGGAGATCTCAAGATCAACATCAGCTTGTTCATTATCCCCTTGTGAGAGCCCCAGAATCACCTCTCCACCCCCTATTGGCATTCCTGCAAGTGTATGGGGTTTTGCTAATCCGCAGCCAAGGAATCCCTCATTAACAAATGCATATTCTCCAACAAAAGTGGAAACAAACTCTACTCAAAGAGGCACCAGAATCATCTCTCCTACCCCAATGGGAACGTCTTCATATTCAGCAACCAACTCTCAGAGCCAGAGGAGGCTACGAGGAGCCAGTTTGCCCTTTGTTGCTCTAGGGGATAGACCACCCAGTCCAACTAGACACGAATGCAGGTCTTGGGCAGAAAGTGGACGATGGTCAGTGGGTTCAGAATTGGGGTTAATAAGTCCTCATGGGGGTTCATACAGTGGCAGCCCATCTTCTATCAGCCCTGGCCCTCTTTCACCCGTTAGACTAACAACTGAAAGGACCACTCTTAGCGGAAAACATTTCACAAGCATCGCCTGGCCGGATGTACATGATATGTTGACTAAATACAACACAGAGCCCTGTACTGAAACTGTTGCTTTGTCCTGCACCGAGACAGAGCAAGATGACATAGAGGCTGCAGAATCGACTTGTCGGAGCACCCTGATCTGTCCCTATGTCGCTCCAGCTAACCCAAATTTGAAAGAGAGTCCCATTCAGTGCCCAATCGAAGGCAAAACAGAAGAAAGTATTCCTAATCAAGGGTCCAAAACAACATTAAAAACCAGTTATGCCACCACTGTCAACTTACAGATTGCCGGGAGTGGGAGGATAGCGACTTTTAGCAATGCACAAGTCAGCCTGACTCAGACACTGTCCCCTGTAGCAGACAGCCAGAGCAGGAGAAGGGTCAGCATCAATAGCTGCAACTTCTCAATGCAGAACTGCAAAAGGCTTTGAGTGGTGTGCTCCTGGGGTCTGGTATGGTGCCTCGTTCTTCAAAGACACGTTATCTGGCACTTTAGCGTGTAGCAGAGGTGTCAGCTTAGAGATCCATGTCCACTCCACACAGACAAAAAAAAATCATGGACTATAAAATACGGGTCTCAGCCAGTTTATGCTATGGTCAGTGATTTTTTTAAATTTTTTATCCTCAACCCTACTTTCTGGCCAGGATACCAGTAAAACATCAGTAAAAAACTGCTTTGCTATATTTGGCAGTGTTTATTTTATTGCTTTTAAGACTGTCATATGCAAATGTATTATATGTAATAGAACTAAAGCCTGTGTCATTAAAGGCTTTCAGTTGGCTGTGATATATAAAGGAACTTATTTATGAAGTAGTTGTTTTCTGGCACTTAACTCTTGTTTCTTTGTTTTGCACATTTTTCTCTAATGTGGTCCAGACGTGTCTGGAAAACAGTGTGTTTCAGACAAAACATTCTCGTGTATGTTAAAATAAATTTTTATTGCCAGTGTTCTATATGGATTTGGTTAATAATACATTTGAAAACAAGGGGACATGAATCGCTGCTTTGATTGTTAATACAAACATCAAAACATCTGATCTGATATTTTGCGTTGATGAAAATGTTTGCTGTACACAATGAAAAAGCATTCCATCACACCCAAGAAAAGTATTCTGGTGTGGACTAAGACAAGGTAATGCTGATCAAATGGACTCTTGATTTTGTTTTAATTTTTAGTGTATTTTTAATGTAATACATTGTTGATTTCTAAAGGAGATTGTCACAATCAATGAATGCTTAAGCCAACTGAACCTATATCTCAGATTTGTTTACCTAAGGCCTTTATGCTTCACACCCTGCCTGCTAGAGATGGTGCAAAGAAAACAAATGTTCACACCTGCTCTCTGTACTTCCTGTCAAAAAAAAAAATCCACGATTTTCACACTGTATGGAAAATGTGTTCTGTTATTTGTACCCAAATAAAACCAGCATAGTGTCATTCTGATTGAGCCATTGTATTACTTTTGCTGTGATATCATTGTAGATTTTGTATGGGTGTGTCTAAAAGGAGGGGCCTGAAGAAGAAAAAAGCATAGGGCCTGAAGAAAAAGAATGTCACATTTTTCTAAATGCTAGGTAAAAGGAAGTCTATCAGTATACTACAGCAAATATGCTGCCAAAAATCATTTGCCTGAAGGGGCGATTGAATCGTTGGCTTTTGATAATAATGTATTATTTACTCATTCGGATAACTGAACGATTTAACTGAATTGCTTTAAAACTGGAGGCAAGATAAAGTGCTTTTGATAAATTGCATTAATATGAAGGCTAAATGTTTGCTGAATAATATTGTAGGCAGTGATGTTGTACTTCTGGGCTCATAGATTTTTGTGAAGAACAGCTGGGATATTTTTGTGCTTTGTTTAGTCTTTTGTTGACCTTTAGTTTACACCCAGTTGTAACTGGTATACTTTCTTGCACTCATTCGATGATGCATTTCAGAAAGCTTCTAACATTAGTGTCAGCACCATTTGAAGATTGTGTTGTGTAATTCGTTTTTATTATCTACATACAGGCCTGTGCGTTTCTGAGTGAGAAAGCACAGATGTCATATTTATCACACTGTTATGATAAAATTAATATAATTTGCAAAAAATTGCAAAAAGTGCTTTTTCCGTATTTAATTAACGAGTGTACGATTAAAAGAGTAGCAGCTATGTAATATTTTAAACATGGCTTAGTCAGGGACTGGCACTCATCAATCAAGCCATCAAGGCCATTTAAGTCGTTTTGGCAGGACAGATGACAAAATTCTAGTCATTATTTAATAATGTGATTGGGTGCAACTTATGAATAAAAAGAGAAGCTTTTTGGGATTTAAGTACTAGAGTAATAATACCCTCTCTCATTGATGGTGGAAGCCATCCAACAAATGAATTTTCATAAACTGCCAAGAAAATTTAGATAAAGTGTCACATTTTTTTTAGAAAGCTCTGAAGTCAACCTATTAAACTACAGAGATGTATTTTCATGTTTAACTCCACTTCATTTTTCAAGATTAAAGAAGTATGCACAATTTCTTTAGTACATATTTCTTCTCCCATCTCTAAACACTGCTCTCTTGAGCTAGTAAAGGCTCCCATAGCTTTTTCTCCATATATGTGACCCTGGTCCACAAAACCAGTCATAAGGGTCAATTTTTTGAAATTGAGATGTATACATTATCTGAAAGCCGAATAAATAAGCTTTCTATTGATGCATGGTTTGTTATGATAGGACAATATTTGGCCTAGATACAACTATTTGAAAATCTGGAATCTGAGGGTGCAAAAAAATCTAAATATTGAGAAAATCGCCAAAACACTCCATGGCACTCGAAATTATAGTGAAAAAAATTATATTCACATGGCTTTACATTAAAAGCAACACACAAGTGCACAGACATGTTGCAGCTATCAGGGTGTCAAACTACAAACACACTCAGAGTCTGTTTAAACAATCAATTTGTCACATGACATAGTCACCTGATTAAATTCCAACGCATCACACAGAATTATTTTTCGTAAATATAATTGTACCCAATAAATTCAAATAATTTTTATTTAGATTAGCAAAACAGAAGAAGAGAGAAAATACATAAAATACATAAATCTCAATATAATATCATAAAGTACAACATAGATCCAAAAAAACACAACAAAGTATTAAAAAAGAGGGAAAAAATTCAATTCTCCATTTAAACCTGGAAAATGAGTTGCCTATATCCAGAAAGACTCTCTCTGTTGTAACCTTTTTATCCTATCTTCTCCCCTGTGCATCGGTGCACTTGTGTGTTGCTTTAAATGTAAAGCCATGTGAATAAAGGCTTTTACATTTTTTCACTATAATTTTGAGTGCCTTGGAGTGATTGATTTCTTTTTGATGAATTAAGAAATCCTGCATCCAAAGAGCACCGACTTTATACCCCAGCAGCATTTTTTGCATATTTTTGATGTATGAATTGAGAAAATTGCCTTTAAAGTTGTCCAAATTAAGTCCTTAGCAATGCATATTACTAATCAAAAATTAAGTTTTGATATATTTACAGTAGGAAATTTACAAAATATCTTCATGGAACATGATCTTTACTTAATATCCTAATGATTTTTGGCATAAAAGAAAAATCGATAATTTTGACCCATACAATGTATTGTTGGCTATTGCTACAAATATACCCAAGTGACTTAAGACTGGTTTTGTGGTCCAGGGTCACATATTTTATTATTTTAGAGTTTATTCATAGAGGCCTGATCCTAAATAGTGAAAGTTTCTGTCATAAATACAGCAATTGAAATCCCAAAATCCGATCAATAATATCATGTAAATGCACCAGTGTCACTCTCATAGAACTTTCATAGAAATCTTTTTTTTTTTTGTAGACAGAACTTTAAAAAACACATGAAATCACAAGTGCAGTCACAACCACCTTTGTAGTTGTTTGTAAATCTGTGTAACACTTTATAAATAACTTTCATTTATAAATCATTAACAAACATGATATAATGCTTAACAGATCATTAGTTCATATATATTCACATAGCTAGAAATATGAGATAATGTTCATGTTAATGTCTACTAATGAACTTACTAATCGTTACCTAATGATTAACATATTATTTAATGTAAACTGAAATGCTTACAAATGTCAGTAAACTTTCAGTTTATGATCTTCATTTGTTGGTCTTTGTTTGTTGTGTAGACCTCTATTTACACATCTTAACAAATAATCTATTAATTATTTGTTCATGTTTTTGCAGTAGCCAATCTAAAGTGGAAACTATTCATCATTTGTAAATGTTTATAAACGATTACTAATCATTTAGTATCTTTATGGGGATTGGACTTTTAGCTAATGTAACAAGGTTTGTGTGAAGGGTGGCTGGTTAAGTTTAGCTAAATGCTTGCTAAAGACATAACAAATTGTAATTTTGGTGCAAAAAAATGTTTTTATTGCCTCAACACCATAGGCGGACAAAGTACTCAACTCCATTACTTGAGTGAAAGTACAGGTACTGCTGGTCAAATATTACTCTATTACAAGTAAAAGTTGTAAAGACAGATTTTTACTTAAGTAAAAGTACAGAAGTACTTGCTTTTAAAAGTACTTAATTACCAAATGTAAATTTCCTTTTTTTATGTCAATGCACTGTTTTATTGTTGTACGTAATACTTGCAATACTTCTGAAGCAACTTACAATACATTACACCTACTAGCTTGTAGTATCTTTGGAATAAAGAGCTTTTAGAATGTTAAAAACCTATGGGGGAAAAAAATTAACACCCCTACCCACCCCCACAAAAGCAGGATGGTAGTGATCTCACACAGCTCTGACAGGGTGTGCACACATCTATGTGTAGCCATTCATCCACATTTGAACAGAGTGGACAGTGAAATCCTGTAAATACAGTCTGATAAGGAAGGGGGGGGGGAGAAATCAAACCTGCTTTAAAACCCAGCAACACAACTGTAGCTGTGTAACTTTACAACAGCAACACTGTTTTAACAAAAAAGCAAAACAGCAAGACTTATTTGACATCAAAACAAACATTTTTAAAAATGCTGTCTAATCACTCTCGCTGTACTTGGATGTCACACACAGAACAGTCTGTGCAGTGCTGCTTCAAGTCCAACACCTTTTGTGTTTTATTAGGAGACGCACAACAGTTCTTCTGTGGCTTTATAGGTAATATTTTCACCTACACAATTGAGCAAAATCAGACAATATTGTGTCTAATATATACCACAATATTAACTTCTTATTATTGAATTGTTGTAAATAAATATCACATTTGCAACTCAGTGTTCAAAAAATGCTGGGAAATCACTTCATGTAGCCCTACAAGAGTGATTACTGATAAACTGTCTGAAAAAGAAAGAAAGTCACTGTAACAGTGTTTGTAGATCGGGAAGAAGGAGGCGGGAACCGGCGAACATTTAAAGAAGATTTAATCAAATAAACAAACACAAAATGAAAGTAAAGCGGCAGTCCCTCGCGGACGACTGCCGCACACAAAACACAAAATGAAAGTAAAGCGGCAGTCCCTCGCGGACGACTGCCGCACACAAAACACAAAATGAAAGTAAAGCGGCAGTCCCTCGCGGACGACTGCCGCACACAAAACACAAAATGAAATCCAGGCCTGGTCTTCTCTCGTCCAACACTGTCGTCACTCCTCCTTTTATCCTTCCTGAGCTCCTCCGTGGGACTCGAGACGGTGAGTGGCGCAGATGTCACTCATTATCAATTACTCCACCGGCCTCGCTCCGTTCCCACGGCTCTCGGCCCCGCTCCACTCGTCACAGTCACGTTATAGAGAAGGAAAAAATCAACCACTGACTTTCAAAGCTGCTACATAGTAACGACGATCTTGATAGAAATGTAGTGGAGTGAAAAGTACAATATTGTCTTTCAAATGTAGTGAAGTTAAAGTCATAAGTTCCCAGAAAAAATAATACTCAAGTAAAGTACAGATACTCAAAAAGTGTACTTAAGTACAATACTCAAGTAAATGTACTTAGTTACTGTCCGCCTCTGCTCAACACTCACATTAATATACTACTCTTCAGTATATCATTAAACAGGATATTAACTGAATCATAAATAAACTGGAGAAATAATTTTTTTTTAAGAAAATAGTTAAATTTATAAAACAATATAGTATAAACAGATTGAATCGTGTTCTCTTATAGTAATCAAATTGACCCCTGTACACTGCTGACCACTTACCCAACCTTAAACCTACCCGTACCACCAAACCTGTCCCTAACTCTACCCGTATCACACCTCAACAGCAGCAAGTGTTGTACATTAACACAAGCTATTAATCATTGTATAATATCTGTTAAAATCATTTGTAGATTTTCAATAAATTGAAAGTTTAATGACATTTGTAAGCATTTTAATTTGCATGAAATAAAGATTTGTTTGAACATTATCTAGATCTACACTCCA